CCCCAAAAACTGCAACACACCTCCAAACAAATCAGTGAAAATATCTTCCTGATTTTTCTGAAGTGTAATTTTATTTCCCTTCTTTCCAGGAATATTCCACAGCCATCGACATGTGGTCAGTTGGGTGTATTTTTGGGGAGCTGCTGACACAGAAGCCGCTGTTCCCAGGGAAGTCAGAAATCGACCAGATTAACAAGGTTTTTAAGGTAATTTTTTAATGTTTTGGGATTTTGACTGGTTTTAGAAGTGGAAACATTGGAATACTGCATATTACTCTTTTAACAGAGATTCAGCCTTAATCTGCTTTACAACACTTTGGGTAGGCTGAGACCATGATTTATTGTGTCTGTTTTCTCTGGATAGTTCCCAACTCCTAATGAATAAATAAAAGATTGCACTCTGAGTTTATTAAAGAGATATTTTAATTTGCAGGATCTGGGTACTCCCAGTGAAAAGATCTGGCCTGGTTACAACGAGCTGCCAGCAGTGAAGAAAATGACCTTCACAGAATATCCCTACAACAACCTGCGCAAGAGATTCGGTGCTCTGCTCTCTGACCAGGGCTTTGACTTGATGAACAAGTGGGTGCCGAATTCCAGGGGATCCCTGGGAATATGTAGGCAGGAAAACAATTTTCTGTGTTGTGAAAGGTTTCTAAAATCAAGCCCAGGCTGTGCAGTTACACTGTGTTACCAGAGTACCTGGTGTGTTAATAGAATGTCTAAAGTCTCTCTGGAAATAGCAAAAATTGTAAAATATTCTAATGCAATTGTCCTGGATCCCTTTGGAGCTGTATCTGTCTTATCCAAGGGTCTGAGTTATCCAATGATTTACACCTCTGGGAGCAAAGCTGTGCTGCTTGGATGTGTAGTTCCAGCTGCTGTCCCTTCAATTACAGGTTCATGGAGGAGCCTGCCTTAAAAATCAGCTCTGGTAGATGATGTGGCAGCAATCATTAAGAGAATTTTACCTAATTAATAGAATTACACCTAATACCCAGTCATAGAATATACAAAATTAATACAATTATATCAAATAATAGAACGATTAATAGAATTATACCCAATACCCAGTCATAAAATTACACCAAATTAGTCCAGTAAAAAAGTTATACCAAATTAATAGTTATACCCATTACCTAGTCCTAGAATTATACCTAATACCAGTAATAGAATTAAACCAAATTGAAAGAATTATACCCAATACCCAGTCATAGAATTATACTAATTATACCTAATAACCAGTAATAAAATTATATCCAATACCAGCAATAGAATTAAAGCAAATTAATAGAATTATACCCAATACCCAGTTATTAGAATTATACCCAATACCCATGGAATTGGTATTGCGTATAATTCCAATATGGAATTATCATGGAATTGTACCCAGGTAATAGACTTATACTCAATACCCAGTCATAGAATTATACATTATTAATCGAATTGTTCCCAATACCCAATAATAAAATGATACCAAATTAATAGAATTATACCCAATACCATTGATAGAATTAAAGCAAAGGGACAGAATTCTACCCAATACCTACCCATAGAATTACACCCAACTAATAGAATTATTCCAAATTAATAGAATTACACCCAATACCAGTAATAGAATCATCCCCAGTACCCAACACCAGAGCTGTGTTGAACATCACAAAACCCTCAACCACATTTCTGAACAATTCACAATTTGCAGGACTAAAATTTCCCATTTTTCCATCCTTGGCAGCTTCCTGACATACTACCCAGCGCGCCGGATCACGGCCGAGGATGGGCTGAAGCATGAGTACTTCCGAGAGACCCCGCTGCCCATTGACCCCTCCATGTTCCCTACCTGGCCAGCCAAGAGCGAGCAGCAGCGGGTCAAGAGGGGCACCAGCCCTCGGCCCCCTGAGGGAGGGCTGGGCTACAGCCAGCTGGTGAGTGTGGCATGGCTCCAGAAGCTGCCCTGGGACTGGGCTTTGCTTGGCATCCTGAGATTGACCTGCACTGCCAGGGACAGTCCAGCTTTCCTTCCCAAAATCAGTGCTGGTGAGTGTGGCATGGCTCTGGAGCCTGCCCCAGGGCTGGGCTTTGCTTGGCATCCTAAGATTCACCTGGACTGGCAGGCAAAGTCCAGGTTTTCTTCCCAAAGCCCAGGGAAGGTCCAGCTTCCCTTCCCAAAGGCCAGTGCCAGTTACTGCTCTGCTCCCAGAATCACCATTTCAAGGCATCATCAGAAATGTCTGGTTTATCCTAGTGCAGAGCAGTTTTCTCTTTTGAAAATACTCATTGTTTTACAACTTCATCTAAGCTCTTAAATTTGGGTTCGAAATAAACCCACAGCCTGGTAAATGATACAGATCTTTGGGATAGAAACAGATGCCTTTTTCTGGTCTTGGAGAATTCCTAAGAGGCCAGGCTGGTGTTCTCTCTGTGATAGATCCCTTCTATCTATCCATGGCAACTGTGCTGGCCCCATAAGTATGGCATGCTAGGTTCCTAATTCTGTAAAATTCTTATTACCTGTTCCATGTTGCAGTGTGGCTGAAATGACCCTGTACTATATTTTACTCAATTCACAGTTTAAGTAATACAAAAATTTTATTTAGCCTTGATTTTTCAGGGTGTAAACATTGCAATGGAGGATGTGCACTGTATGTTGGATTTAGATGCTCAATAAGTGAAGTTTATACTTATTTATACCCATTTTTTTATCTCTCTCATGCAGTCAGAAGTGGGTACAGGAACTAGCAACACTCAAACTGCTTTTAGCAATGGCAGATTTTGAAATAGCAATATTTAAAGATTATGAATAACCCAGCATGAACCTTAACTGACGCCACAAAATCAAACATTTGTTTCTCATCTTGAGATATTTTGATTATTTTTGTTGTTTAGATTTTTGGAGACATAAATGCAGCTGCACAGCCCCTGATCAATTCTCTGTGCTTGGTTTTCACAGGGTGATGATGATCTGAAGGACACAGGTTTCCATCTGACCACCACAAATCAAGGAGCGTCTGCTGCAGGACCTGGCTTCAGCCTCAAGTTTTGAACTCAACATGAAAAAGGCGGGGGGAAAAAAACCCACAAAGGAATAAGAAGCACCATTCATGTGAGTGGATTTCAGTGCCCCAGTTCTATTCTCTGTGTCAGGGGCACCAGATGTTTTTCCCTGTGAAAAAAACTCACAGATTACCACAGATTCCAAGGCTTTTGTTTTATAAATCAATGTGGAGTTTAACTGCTGCATTCCATTAAAAGACTGGAGTTACCTGAAAACCCCAGGATCATCACAAGCTGTGACAAAGGACAACTTGAAATAACAGTCCTGGAACAGTTTATTGTTTATTTTTAGAGGGTTTTTTTGTTGAATTTTTTGTTTTGTTTTGTTTTCCTTGTAAATTTGTAGAATTAAAATAAATTTTCAATTGTTTAATAGTGTGAAGGATTTCATTGCTTCACATGCAACGAAGTGGGATGTTGGTGACAGTAAAGACTTTATTTTTTATTTTAAGTAAATAAATTTTTGTTTGTGTCTGAATATATTTGGGGCAAAAAGAAGAATTACAATTCTGAGATTTGTGTCCTGTTAACTTTGGAGAGAACTGGGCTGGGTGTGATGCTCCCTGACCAGATTTTTTTTTCTGTAAATGTATTTACAGTGGTGCAAAAAAAATTACTCTATTGTTTTATAAATCAAAAAGATTCAATATGGAGACTTGAAACTTTATTTTTTGTGAAAGGTCTTTTTTTTTAATATGCCCCTTTTCCATCCAGAGAAGAACTCAGCTTTTGTGGTTATGCAAGGCCACATTCCAGTCCTTTCTGGGGAAAGAGGAGTGGAGGAATCATTTTGGAATCTCATCCGCTGGAGCCCCTGATTTGTGAAGCTGTCACTTTGTTCTGGGAACAGAGAGATCTGTAAAACACCACGTTTTCCTGCAACCACAGCTTGGCACCAGGCCAGTAAGGGATTAACTCAAATCCTAAACATTTTATCAGTTTCAGTCCATTTTGGAGAGTTTTCCTGGGTAAAGGCCGTCGGGCTGGAATGTGAACGTGCTGCAGTTGCGGTGAGTTGGGAAAGCAGCCTGGTTGTTTTCCTGTTCCCCTCAGCCCTGAAGGGGAAACAGCTGAAACATTCCTGATTCCAGAAGCTTCCCCAGGAACCCACTGAAAAGCCAGAGTGCAGGGAAGCTCTGAAGGATTAAACCATGACCCCTCTGCATAGTTTGGCTATGGCATGGAATTGTTTCCTTCACAGCATCCCTGCCCCCAGCTTTGCTAGCCACTCCTGAGCTCTTTTCCAGCTGGATGTGGCACTTCTACCTCATCCTGAGGGAGGAGATCACCTCATCTCCCACAGGATCTCAAGGCTCAGATCCCACAAGGACCAAACTCTGAGCAGCTCAGACCTGTCAAGGACCAAGCTCTGAGCAATAAATGCATCTTGGGATAAGAGGAAAACCCTCAAACCACAGGAAAGAACTTGGGGAAAAAAGCTGTTCTGTGGATCCTTGAATTTAACGTGTTGGAACAGACAACTGAGGAGCAAAACAGGGTTTGTGTGATCCTCATCCTCCTGACAAGTGAAATAAAAGTAGTATTAAGGCTTAGCCTTGTCATTTCTTCTACTTCAGTGCACCAGGATGTGAAAAATGGCAGGAAAACACTTGGAGAATGTTAAACTTGTCCTTTTCCTGCCATTCCACTGTCCCAGGGACTGCAGTAGAGTCTGCTCCTGGTTTGAAGCAGTTCATAGTGCCCCACACAGCTGCATCTGATGCTTTTCTTACCAAAAAAAAAAAAAAAGTTTTTTAATTCTTTGTTCAGCAAATGGTCAATAAATTCTTTAACATTAAAATTAATCTGGAAGGGTTTGACATTCCAGTAACCAGTCCCAGTCTCTTTTGCCCAAGGTACTGAAGCAGCTGATGGAGAATTCAGTTGCACTACTGGAGATTAAATCTAAAATGCTGAAGAAACAACTGGAAGCAGAAGGAGCAGGAACTGAAGGGCTCCTTCCAGGGTTGTGTCAGTGCTTCAGTCTGATTCTCCAGGAATAAGTAGTCAGGATTCTTTCTTTTTTCTTCACTATGCAAGTGTAAGTTCCTTCATTAATTGCATTTGCAATGATGCTCATGTGATCTTCATTTAGGGATAAATAACCTGGATATGAATATTCCAGAAGTTCCTTATCTTTATACCAGCTGTTAGAAGAAAAATAATGAAAATAAAACTAGATATTAGTTATTTCTACTAATAAATTTTGATGAGTAAGTGTACAGATTTACCAAAACACAGTTGAGTTTTACTCTTTATTTCCGGTGGATAACCACAATTAACAGGGCATAATCATGCATAATTTTGGAGTTTGAATCTTGGAAAGTTGATGGAAATTTGGGTCCTTGACTCTAAACCAGCTCATGGATTTGAGCCAACCTAAATTTTAGATACATCCAGAACTTCTTCATACTTTAGTAACAGAAGTATACAGCATACCTGACTGTATTCTGTTAGTAACAGAACCTGAAAGAATAAATTTAAATTTTATGGGGTTTTTTTTTCAGAATACAGCCAGGGAATTCGGCTTGGTAGTAGGAATTAGCTTTGTGCTATATATAAAAATTGGATTTTGAGCTGCAGATTATAAATTCCATTCTGCTTTACCCTGTTCTTGTCATTCTTCCTCATGGATTTCAGTATGCAGAGTTTCCTAAGGCCTGGGATAAGGACAGAGCACTTACTAGACTTTGCCTTTTTTATGAATGATCTTCTGTCCACAGCGGAAGGTGACATTCCTGCCCTCAGAAACTGTCTTGGTTTTGGTCCTTGATGGGGGCAGAGTGGGGGGCACTGTTGGAAATGGGAATTCTGTCCAGGGAGAGAAGGAAATGGCAGCAGTTAATGAGCTTTAGCCACCCCAAAATGCTTTCACAAAATTATCATTTAAGGAGCCTTAAAAGTATTAATTTAAAAGTGCCTCCTCTGAGCAGTTCTTGAATAGATAAATAACATGATTGATGTGTGAAGATAAAATTTTTGTGGTGTGTAAACTGAGATGGATAAAAATCAAAGTTGTCCCTTTCACAGCTGTGGAAGAGGACATGAAGAGTCCAGTGTGTGAAAAGCCTGTGCAATATCTGGGTTTGTAATTATCTGATTACATTTCTCATGAATGTGGCCCAAAAAAAACCCCCAAAACCCTCTGTGCTGAAGAAGGAGGCATTGGTTATCCAGGATATCCCAAGGAGAGCAGTATTCATCTGAATTCAGTTCCACAGCTGCAGCAACTTGACCTAGTCCTGATAGTTCCTTATCTGGACCCAAAAAGGCTGGATAAGGTGATTAACATCATTTATATCCTGTTCTGGGGAGCAGCTCCAGTCCAGCTGTGCTGGAGATGTTTTTGTCTTGTTTCTGTCTCATCTCTGCCTCAGGACCTGCTCTGTAGCCCCTCTCTCTGCCTTGCTATTCCCTGGCTTAGCTAAACCAGAGGGGAATGGGACAATTTCATGTTCCACTCCATAAATGTTTAATCATTCCTCGTTACAGGCCTGGATCTGGACTCAGATATACAAGACACCATCTCTGTTTGTGCTTGGAGCTGGATCACTTGTGTCCACTGAATTATGAAATTAGCATCCTGCCTATCCCAGCCTCACTTTTACCTCCTCCCTCTGTACAGACCCCAGCCCAAATCCCAGAAAACTCGCTGGATACCATAGCAGAAGTCACAGATGGATGGGCAGTGCTTCTTCATCAGCTTCCTGCGCTTCTCACAGAAGCCTTTTTTTGCCCATACTGGGCACACAAATAACCTGTCCTTACAGCCTGGAACAGGAGGAGATGAGGTGTTAGAGGGGTTGGGGGAGACTGAACAACCAGATTTAGGTGAAATGTCAGGAAGGTGTCCACAAGGTGGAGCTGGGATGGGGAATGATCTAAAGCAGAAGCACAACAGGAGGTGGAATGTGACACCACGATTGCTCCACAGCATCCAGTTGCCACTTTAGGCAAGGCCTGCAGAGATTCCTCACCATAGAGCCTGTGGATTCCCCATACTTCATCCTGGGAAATGCTCTTTTTGCCCGTCAGGGTGGCATTGATGTGCATGAGGGCATTGGGGTTCAGCGAGTGCATGAGGCCCAGGGCGTGTCCAATCTCATGGGCTGCCACATGGACCAGGTCTGTCAGCCAAACCCCTGGGGGAAAGGAAAACCAGCTGGAATGGTGTTGTATAGTTGGTGTACAGCTCTGCTTTACCACATGATTCCTCCTGGTGAGGTGTAAAACCAGAGGAAGGATTTCAGCACTAGAACAGGCAGCACTGCCCTAGGTTCCTATTCTCTGTAGCTGCTTGGGCCCAAATCAAGCCAATTATTCCCATGTGCTTCTAATTCCCAGTAGCAGGACCCAGAGCAGTGCCAGGGTCCAGGAGAGCTGCAGTGTTTGACCCAGTACAACACTGACCCTCCTCAGCTTCCTGCTCACTTTGCCCCCCACAGCCCTGAGCTGAAGAAATGGGGTTGGGAAGATTCCAGTCTGAAAGATGCTCGTTTGACCTCCACAGCCTGGAGTCAACCTCAAGCCTCTTGGCAGCATCCAGCACATGGATTTTAACTGAAGGATGTGGCTGAGCTACCAAAGAATTTCACTAATTCAAATAATTCCAGCAAGAAGTGGCTGTGCCATCACACAGTTTGGGCTCAGGGCAGAGCAATAACAACTCCCAACCCCACAATAAAACTCCAACTGTTTCTGTCATCACTTTCCCAGATCAGGTAAATCCCAGACTAAAATCTATATCCCAGGCATTCCATGTGTTTCCTGTGTTACCTTTCTTCCAGCTGAACCTGGTGTTCCCCAGGATCCAGTACTCATGGTCATCAAAGTGGATTTCTCCGTGGGGTGGGAAGAAGGCATGGGCCAGTTCACCCGTGGTGCCATCAAAGCAGTGGTGGGTCAGAGACTCCAGGCAGTCTGTGTGGTTGATGGAGTAGAAACCTGTGGAAAAAGCAGCAGGTTGAGGGTTATCCATCAGGATCAGCCTGCCCAGGAAAACCCTGGGTCACTGGAAAGGTCTCCAATGGGATCCCAGGTGTTTTCCAGCCTCCACAAAAGGAAAGATAAATGCAAAGCAATTGTCAGGACTGGTGCCAACACTCAGCCCTGTGCTGACCCTGGATTTAGAGTTGTTTCCAAAGGACACAAATCAATTTGTGGTCCAGCAGGGAATGCTGAGCTCCTCTTGCAAGACCATGTGGAAATTATCTTTTTGAGAGAGAAGCTGGACAGAGCTGAAAACCCCTGGATTGTTCCATTTTGAACATAAATAAGCAGATGCCTTGGAGTCAGAGCTGCAGGAAGATCACAGTGGATCCTGAATCCCTGGAACTGGGCACCTGGAGCTCCCACATAGTGGTAGGACAGACCCCAGGGAGCCTCATCACGTCCTGCAGCACCGGAGGGGAACATGTTATGAAATGAGGGTGAATCTGCTGGGCCATTGGCACAAGGAATCTCTGCTTCACACTCAGAAATCCCAGGAAGAATTGACAGGGATTCAGCAGAAAATGCCTCAGCACTGAACTTTTCTAGGCCCCAGGAAATTCAGGAACAGCTACAGAGCCGTGGAGGGGAGGAGGGAAGGGGCGGAACAGTGACTGCTCCAATAGGATCAGCAAAAGGGAGACTGAACCCAGTCAAGTGAAGCAGCTTGAATCCCTCACCTGTTCTGTGGCTCTTTGTGAGCCTGGGTGTGTCACTCCACCTTCCAACATTCAGTTTCCCCATCCATGGAGTAAGAATCTGTGGATTCAATTCTTATTCTCCTGTAGCTTTCCCCACCTGTGTCTTCTTATTCTCCCATGGCTTTCCCTATCTGTGGGATTCCGTCCCAGCAGCAGAATTTGAGGGTTCATTTTTGGCAAATGCCTGAAGCTTCCTGACCACCAGATTCACAGGAAGTGCTAATTGGGACATTAAGATTTCCTTGAGCAGACAGAAGTAGTTTTTCTTTGCCTGTCTAAAGGCAAAGGACACCCCAAACCTTATCCAAGAGGCCCTGCTGAGTCCACGCAGCATAGGGATGCTCTCCTGCCTCCCAGATTCTGGATTACACACTGGAATTGCTGGAATTCACACACACCACAGCTTCCACTGCCCCAAAGCAGGACCCCGTGGCGGGGACTCACCTATTTTGAGGTCACTGGGGAGGTGCCGTGGGACCTCCCTGAAGCTGAATGGGGACACCTCGCTCCACATGCGGAATGCAGCTGCCAGCCCCCGGCGCGTGTCCCTGGCGCTCAGGAGGTTCCTCGGGAAGGACAGGATCCTGCAGGGACACACAGGACACCCTCAGGAAAATGCCAGTCCTTCCTCAAACATCTGCAGGCTCTCAGGACTGCTTCAGTCAACTTCTCTGGTGTTTCACAAACTCACTGCAGGAGGTTGGAATCAGGAGTAGCTTGAGCTGGATGTTAACAATATTTAATCACCCCCCCCAGAGGGGTGAATTAATTCCTGATATTCTTTACAATGGAATGAGAATGTAGTTCTGGACTAGCTACAGCTTTTGTTCCTCCTCTTCAGCACAAGTTCTCTTGGAAAATTGTTTTTATCCTGGTCTATCCCAGTCTGTTGCTAGAAGAAGAGCTGCATTCCAACAGCAGGGAATTCTTGTTCCTCACCCTTGGGCTCCAGTGGATGTGGATATTCCACTGGTGTGGAATACTCTCAGGAAGAACTTTTTAAAAAGTTCCAAAGAATATAAAAGGTTTTATGGGAAAACAAGTTCTTTGCTTAGAAAAAAAATGTACAGGGAAAGAAGTTCTTTCCTTTGGAAAAAATCTATAGAGAAAGAAGTTATTTCCTATGAAACAAATTCTCATTACTTAGGACAGAGACTCAAGAGATGTTTTTGCTTGGGCCACAGGGCAAACTGTGGGGAAACTCATGGTGCAGACTGGTAGAAGCCCTCCTTGGGCCATGAAAATGCAGATGTCTCCCAGGAACTTACTTCATCCCACAGGAAAATCTGCATTCAGGGAACTGCCTCAAGTGCAGCAACTGGGAAAAGCTGGGCATATTCTCTATCCCTCTGGGATGGTTTTCAGCTATGCTGATTATGCTCTCCTCTTGCACATCCTAAAGGGAGCAGAAGGTTTCGTACCAAGCCAGTCTCTTTGTGAGGGCAAACCTGGGCAGTGAAGGCTCTCATGAGGCTGAGCCTGTTTGGAATGAGCAGGAAGGGAAGGAGCAGAGCCTTCCCTCACCATGGAATTGTAATCAAGGGCTTTTTATTGTGTATTTGTCAGTAGACTTTTCCCAAAGAGAAAGGAGAGACACTGCTAAAATCCGTCAGCGCTAAGAGCCCAGAAATCACAGAAATCCTGAGATCACCTTTCAACAGTGATTGCCCTTGGTGCTGATTTAAGTTCATACTGAACTCTTAAAAAAACCCACTAGGATAACAGAATTAATCCTCAATCACGACCTTCTGAGGGAGGACCCTGTTGTGGGGAGCCTGACTCTGCCCTGAACAGTTTCACTCCAGTGAGAGGTGCAGCGTGTGTCAAAATATTCCTGCTTTGGAGTGGCTTTAGCAGCTCTTCCTGCCCTGGCACATGGCTCAGCAAAAGCCACAGGGCCAAGATCCAAAGCCATTGGATACAGCAGGAAAATTCAGGCCCCTGGATCACTTTTGGGGCTGATTCCAGGCCTTACTTGTAGGTGAGGTTGAAGTGGTCCCACTTGAGGTGGCCTGGGGTGATCGTGTATCGCCTGCTCCGCGCCGCAGGCCGAGGAGGAGCTGGGATGAGCAGAGCTGAGCCCGGGACATCTTCCTTAAAGACAAAACAGGAGCTTGGAGGAGATAAGAGAGACTCCAGGACAGTTGATGCCTTAAGATTTTAGCCTTTATATTTTTCAAATCCTGTAGTGCATTAATGCAGAACTCAACACTCCACACACAGTGTGAGCTGCTGTCTTCACATTTTGTCAGACACAACAATTCCTCGCCAGGCCTGGGAATCAAGGACACCTCACTGCCTCAGGCCCCACAAAGTATAAACAAAAGTGAATTGTGGGGGAGAACCGGGGTAAATTACTTCATTACCTGAAGCTGTAATTGGAGGACTAACCCCTGATATTTAAATGGACCAAACACATAATAGTGTGAAAAACTGGTGACCATCATCCATCTTGGGTGTAGCCCCTCTGAAGTTTTTCACTGCCCAAGGTGTGCCTATTGAAGACCTTTAATAAATCCCTACTTTATTCTCTTAACCTTATCCAGCCTCTGTTCTAGGCAGCCACTCCAAGGCATCACAGTGTAAAATAAAAAACTAGATGGAGCAGGACACCTGGGGCTGGGGAGCACCACTACTTCTGCCTGAGGGGTATCCAAGAGATGAGACCGATCCTGCATCATCCCAAAAAAGCCCCTCTCCTTTTGGAGAGCAGAAATGAGGCCTCAGAAGGCTTCTGGCCACAGTAAGTACTGCAGCTCTGCCTGGAAAGTTTTCATTTCCTCCTCTCTTTGCCGTCACTCCCCAGCCTCACCACAGAAGAAATGTTAACTTGGAGAAATTAGTAAAACAGGCAACTCTTTGTGCAGGGAGCTCTTTCAGAGAGCTCTGAAATGCCTTCAAAGTAAACAGAAGCCCTGGAAAACCTGGAGTGCCCTTAAAGCATTGAAGAGCAAAAGACATTGAATTTTGTGACACATCTGACTGCAGCTAGAAAAGCCTTTTAGTAGCTGGAGGGAAACGAATGGGACCCAGCGTGTTTTTTTGTAAGTCTTCCAGTTCTGTTTCCCCTTTTTGGGGCTAAAACACTGAAAATCTCTGGGCTCCAGAGGCACCAAGGCACTTCCCTAGAGCCAGAGACAGTGGCCATGGTACAGAAGCTGCAGCAAGAGCCTCTGTCCAGCCTCACAGCACATTCCACAGGCAGCAGGAGCTGTCTGCAATTTCCTCATGGAAGAAATGAGGCCCTGAAAGCCAAAAACCCACATCCTTTGTGTCACAAGAGTAGACAAGAGGCCTGAGGTGACAGCTCTGGGTCCTGCCTGAAGCAGAAGCACCTTTCCACAGCTTGATGAGGCTGGAAACTTTCTCCTGACCAAGTCTGACAGCCCTTTTCCTTCCATCCTGACCCAATCTCAGCACCTTTCTTTCCTACAAGGGCAGATTTCAGTGTTTCCTGCAGCTGAAACTAGCACCAGCTTTGTGAGGACCACTCACTATGGGATGGAGCTGGGAGCCAACACCTCCCTGCTGGCTGCAGATTTTGGCAGGATTTGGATCACATTTTTGGGTTCACTCAGCTCAAGGCCTTGCCCTTTCCTCCTCGGGCACATGGGCTGTGGGTCACTGGCTCTCATCCCTCTCCCTTCATCCCCTGTGGGTTTTAGCTCTGATTTTAATCCGACAGACACATTTCCCTGGATAAAAAAGGAAAATTTTGCCTCCTTTTAAGCAGAACAGGCAAGGTGGAGGAGCTGCAAGAGGAGCCTGGAGAAGATCAGCTCATAATTACAGGATAATCAGATATTTTCCCCTTTTGCTTTTCTCACAGTTCTTTCAAGTAGAGGAGAATTATGCAAATACTTCCCACCTTTGTTTTCTCCAGGATCCTGTGCCAGGATTGGGACTGGTTACACATTCATTCATTCTGGCATCAGGATTCCTGGGAATTCTGTCAGGCTCCAGAAGACTGACTCAGGAGATGTGTTAACTTCATCCTGGGGTGAGTGAGGTGTTGACACTCCTCAGGATTTCTCTGTCCTTGTGCTGGGTGTTCTGGCAAAGGCAGGACACTCTGGATTTGCTTTCCAGCCTCCACAATCCACCCCACTGCTGTTGCCATTCCTGGTTTCTGGAGCTCAGGGAGCAGTTTGGCTCCTCTGGCTGTTAAATTCCAACACAGGGGAATCCTGAGCTCTCCCAGTCCCTTGGGCAGAGAACAATTCCAGCCAGAAAGAGCCTGCTGGCTTCTCCTCCTGCAAGGGAAACTGCAGCCCCAGGGGAGAAAAATTTTCTGTATTTTCTGTAACTACTGAGAATAAAAGCTTGAAGCCATTAATGCTGAGCAAACAAAATGAAAAATTAAAATAATGTGTCACTTCTCCTCAAAATCCAAACCAGAGTGATCAGAGCATCAATCGCTGCTGGATCAAAGGAGGTGCAGAGGTCTTTGCTCAAACCTCCTTCCTGGGCTCTGTTCTCCTCAAGTCTCTGATTTTGCCACCACTGGGGCAACAAAGATACTTTTAATTAACAAAAAGTGTTGCAAAATTAATCGGAGAAGGGTGGGGAACCATCCAAAGGTTGCAGCTCAGGTGTGGGGTTCCGACAGTCAGAAAACCACAGCACAGATTGGATCAAAGGATCTGTCTGGATGACAAATATCCAGGATTTTGAGGCTACCCAGAACTGAAAAGTTCAGACACTCCCAGGAAGAAACCCAGTGAGCTGTGGGTTAAGGTCTCAAATACTCCAAATGTTCTGGAAGGGTATTATTCAATTCTCTCTCTCAACAACATATATATATATATATATATATATATATAAATAATAATAAATATAATTAATATATAAAATATAAATTATATACACACTAATATAAATTATAAATTATATATACACTAATATAAATTATATATATAAACTGAAAATTTAAAATATATGTATGAAGGGAGACACTGGCCAACAGCCCTGTTCTGAATTATTCACCCTGTGCACTCAGACCTCCAGTAATTTACTTCATTGAGCTGTAATGACTGTAATGAATTCCCTTCTCCCTCCCAGCCATGCAGTTCCCCTCAAGTCAAACAGCAACATCACTCTGAATTAGGAGTACTTAATAACAACCTGAGCATGTTATGCAAATGAGGGGGCAGTGCCAGGATGTTCATATACACAAAAACCAGGAGAGGATGTACCTAAAGATTCTTTTTTATAAAATTAAAAGCTAAAATTAAGCTAAAGGAGAAATTGAAGGTGAGCTTCTGGGAGCCCCAGGGCTCTGCCAAAGCTCCCCCTGGATTCAGTGTATCCCATGGAGGGATGGACTCCAAAAAGACGCAGCTGGGATTTCTGCAGTTCCAGTTTGGATCCCACACCACGAGCCCTGGAGTGCAGGGAGGCTCAGCCCAGCCTCAGAAATCCCAAACCAGGCAATGCCACATCACCCTTGGCTAGGAAAGCAGAAAAGCCACAGGAGCAGCTAAAGCTCCAAGGAAAAACTCCCCAACCTTCTTAGAATTCCCTGTTTGCTTCTCTTAAGCTGCACCCACAGCTTCAACCACCTGATTCCACTGGGGTGCACAATTATCTTTTGGGATTCTTTGCAATGAGGGGTTCCAACAGTCCTGAATACATCTTGATGGCTTTACAGATGTTTATCCGTTTAGATATTTTTTATCTATAGATCCATTGTTCTATTTAGATTTACATATAGATTTATTTATAACCATTTATTTGGATTAGTGATTTAGAGAATTATCTAGTTAGATATTTATCTCTTTAGATACTTTTTATCCATAGATCTATTTAGATCTATTTGTCTATAGACTGAGATCTATTTATCTATTTAGATTAGAGATTTATAGATTTATCTAGTTAGATATTTATATTTTTAGATCTATTTAGATCTATTTGTATCTATTTAGCTATTTAGATCTATTTATCTATAGACCTATTTGGTATATTTATCTATTTAGATTAGATACTTGTCTACCTATTTAGATATTTAGATTCCAGCCTCTAACCAGAACACACCTGCACCTCTCTTTGATACCCCACTCCCCTCCCAGGCATTTGAGGATCAGACCCCTTCTCCTCACCTGAATTTCATGAACTGCAGCTCCAGCTGGATATTCCACAACCACCAGCAAAACCAGCACAGGGAACAGACACAAAAACCCCAGTGTGGTTCTCCAGCCACTGCTCTTTTTCTTCTCCAGGGACAAGGGGCTTTTCCTTCTGCCTGAAGAATGTTGTTCAGCCTGATCCATGTTGTTCTTGAGGAGTTTTTGGGACAAGCACTCAAGATATTCCCTTCACAGAACGCATCTGTAATCCTTGAGCTCACATTTGGACCATTTGTGAGCAGCCATGCAGCTACTGCCAGAGCTGTGCACAACCAGGGGAGTTTGAAAAAGCTCTAAAAAAAAAAAAAATTTAAAAAAGAAGAAGAAGGAAAAAGTAGACTTTACATTAAGCCTCTTTCCAATGTGGCAAAGATTCTCTCAGGCTCTGCCAAGTAGGATTGTGTTACTGCAGCTAAAATTTGGGCTGGCGGAGGAGCAGCAGCAAAGTGAAACAAGCTGGGGTGGACATGAACTCTTCTCTTTAACTGTGTGAGCAACAGAAGGCAAATCTGCAGTTGTCAGCTTTAGTAATAAAAAAAAAAACAAAACCAAAAAACCAAAAAAAAACCCCACAACAAACCACACGGGGAGGAGGCAGCAAAAGGAATCCAGAAGGGAGACATCACCCCCTTGGAATGTGTCATTGGGGATGCTACACATCATTTGTCACGGGCTGGGGCTGTCCTCAGGATGAAAAATGAGATGCTGGGAGAGCAGTCTGGGCTCTCTGCTTGTGAAACTGTTCGGGGAGTTTACAAATTCATACAAAAGTAAACACCAGCCCCTCTTCCATCAAACTTGGCTGGGGATCTGCAAGTTTCTGGTGTGCTTGGGTTATTGAGTATTTTCAGGCCACTCTTGTTTTGGAGGACTGGCTTGGAGGGGTTTGTCAGCTTGTCTTCAGCTGGCAGGTTCTTTGAGGCATCTCCAAGCTCTCCAACCAGACAAGAATCGATTCACGGCTTTTTGAGAAAGCTCACTCAGAAATTCTCAGGTTTCCAGAGACAGCTGCACTTTTCTGTCTGGTCCTGAAGTGGGGTGAACTCAACCCCAGCTCAGGACCAGACAGAGGAAAAAGAACTCTGCAAGCTCCCATTCCCACCAGCAAATGCCAGGGAGGGAGAAGGTCATGTAAAAATTGATTAAGGGCATCTGAGGCATTTGCAAGTTTTCAGAAAAGCCTTGTAATTTTAATAATAAAAAGTGCTTTAATTGGAATTTTTTCCACCCTAGTTCATAATCAAGCCTGCAACATTTTATTAGTTTCATATATTTTCAGCCTAAAGCTGGCCTGGAGCTTTTAAACAACTCAGGATAAAAAAGTGAGTCTGGGTGTAGAATTTCATGAACATTTTCAATTCTCACCAAGGAAAAACACCACGAAGTGCAGCAGTGGTTCAGACCCCAGGAGAAGGACAGGATAAGGAGTAACAGGCAAGGAAACAAGGGACAGAATTACAAAGGGAAGCTGAGAGCAGGAGGAAGAGCAGAAAGCAGGGTCTAGGACTCTCCCTCCTGTGGAATTGGCTGCCCTCAGCTGCTTGCTGCAGCTTTCTAGGGATGATTCCTCCTTCCTCAGGAGCACCGCTGGCAGAAGGAATGTGCCTGTGCATGACTGTAAAAGTCCTGCATTTGGAGCTCGAAATAGATGCAGATGCAGCCCTGTTTGTGGTTTGAGCTGCAATCACAGCACCAAGGGAGAAACTCAACTGATCTGTGCCTTGAGTGCCCAAATTCTCAAAATTTCTTTCAGAGCCTGCAGATGAGAACTGAAAGGCTGATTGAGAGAGGAGTCTTGAAGGAAAAACCTGCCTCGGAATGGGGCTCCAGACCTCCAGCCAAGAGCTCTTCTCCAGTACGGCAGCACTGGCTTGCAAGAAAAATATTTTTATCAAACACAGAGCTGGAAGAACATTGAGTCACGGAACAGCTTTAAGTGCCTCTCCTAGAGCCAGGAGGACTCGGCAGTGCTGGAGAGAGACATTAATTTATGCACTGCACACCCACTTCTCCTCCTGCTGGAGCAGCCTGGTCCCTTGGGGCAAGTGGAGCAGCCTGGTCCCTTGGGGCAAGTGAATGTCCCCCAGTCCAGACTCAGGGCAGAGCTTTGTCCTGCTCCTTGGACAAGCTCAGAGCAGGTGAAGAGATTTGCCTGAGGTCAATGTGGAATCTGTCAGAACAGGAACCTGAAACCCTTCAGGCACCCACTCAGTGCCTTATTATTGTGGCACTCATTTTTGTGAAGGGGAGCAGAAGAACCCAAACTTTAAAGATTGGGGACTCACAATCTCCAAGCACTGCCTGAGGGAGCCAAAAATTTCCTTCATAATATAAAGAAGGTAAAAGTTTTTGTGAAATACATCTCAGCACAGCTGAGTGCACAAAGCTTTAGTAAAGTGCATTTTTAGGACCCCACTGTTCCTGAATACTTCTCCATACAGCTACCAAGGGTCAGCATAGCCAAGAAAACCCTTTTCCATGAGTCACAGAACGATTCTGAATGAGAAGAGACCGTGCTGCACATGATCTGTTTTATCTTGTGCTGACTGACTGGGAATCTTGGGCTGCAGAGATGATTCACAACCACTGTGACATTTTAGGATCCTGCTCCCCTGTCAGGTGATCCCTGGGTGGATCAGAAAGCAGTTTCTTGGAAAGCACTTTGCCTTCTCTCCCCGCATCCACTGTGCCCATCTACACCAAAATTCAGCACATCCAACCCCACGAAACCCCTGGCTGCAGGAAGCTCTCAAAATGATTAAAGTTCAAGCCAAATATTTGCTGAGAAACCAGCTCAGCATTGAGGCCAAGACAAACTTCGTTTTTTAGGGAAAGGAGAGTCAGATGAGGAGAGGACTCAGGACTCCCAGATACAGCTCATGGAGCTGAGGGAGCCTCAGGAGCTCCTTGCTGTGCACACCAGCAATGCTCCTGACAAAGTCCCTGCTCCTCTGGAGCCACCAGAATCCTTGCTGACACTGCTGGAAATACACCCCATTCTTCACCAGGCAGCTGCTGCTGCAGCTCCAGAGTTCTGCTGAGTTTGAGAGGTTCTGGAGCGTGGATATTTGGTTTGGACTCCAGGCAAGATCTGTCATGCTGACTATATTTGGGCAGCAGAAACATTCCTGGCACTGGTTTCTGTCTCAAAGCAGTGGAACTCGTGACACCGAGTGAATCCATGTGATATAACAGGGAAAGGGGAGCAGGGAAGGGCACAGAACTGACTCTGCTTTGTCCTCCCCGGATTCTCCTTTGTAGGGAGCTGGGATTTTCCAAGCCAACATCCAGGGATGCACATCCCGAGCTCTGGGAAGCAGCAGGCTCTGAGCAGCTGTCAGGAGGGAAGGAATGGTGAATGAAGTTGCATAAAACCCACAATGCACAAAGAGAGGCCTTGGGAACAGAAAGCTCGGGATCATTTGCACAACACGATGCACCCCCCTCATTCCATCACCTCAGCTTTGCTCTTTTCACTCAGTTGCTGAAATGTTTGGCTTAAAGCAGGGCTGTGCCTAACACACAACACATGGCTCCCTTCCCCAGGGCAGCCTTTAGCTCAGAAATAATTTTTTTTTTAACCTTCATGGATTATTCTTAGCATTTCTCTTTCCTTTGTTCAGCCTCCTTTAAATGTTTTTTTCAGCACAATTTCCAGTATCTCCACTTAATTTCTCAGGACACTGGCACTGCTTCATCCCAGTCCCCAAAATAACACAAACCCAACATATATTACAGCAAAACCTGTCCTAAGAGGTGCTACAGAGAGAACCACCATCAGTGCTGGGAGTGGAGCTCTCTGACTGTCCCAAAGGAACCTCACCTCTCCTGAAATCTCTGTTTATTCATGGATAAGAGCCTTATCATTGGATAAGTTTTGTTCCTTGTCATTGGAACAAAACACCACCATCAGCTTCCCCTGTTGTGACTGGGAATTCTGCATGGAGGTGGGGAAAGGAGAAGGACCCAAAATCCAATGGCTCGAGGCTCCAGGATCAGGATTTCATCTGCAGGGAATGTGATTTACCACAGAACAGCTCCTCCTTGGCCCATGTGAAAGGAATCAGGAAAACCTCACACAGCCCTCCCTTCAAAAAGCACTTAGAGATTTTGCCCTTCAGCTCCCAACTTGGGGGGAAAAGAAAATAAAACCAACAACCCAACATTCCTGCATGGTTCCTGTGGGAATGGCACTGAAAATTTGTGCTTTTTCTGTGGGTCATGGGCTAAAAAAAGGGTTTTGTGTGCTGTAAGAGGGAGCAATGCTCCCCAGGGAGAGGGAGAACAGGAATGTTTGGGGTCTAAAGAGAATTCTCCCACTTTCTACCCTGCAGCCCCTCGTGATCAGCATCTGCTGATGTTCCTAGAAAAATCCATGGTCTGATGAATAACAAATGAACTGAAAACAGCTCCAGCTGGCAGAGAAAAAGGAATATTTTGCTTAACTGTCAGTTTGAGCTGCTGCTCATAGAAGTGCTGCACTGGCCTGACCCAGGCAGGTGCTCAGCACTGCAGTCCTGACCATGGGGAGCAGAAATCTGGGGATGAAGTGAGGGAGAAAGGTTTCACAAAACACAGATAATGAGCTAAAAACTGCACCCTGGGTGGGGATACTTTTGTCTCTGCTCTCTGGTGGGATGTATTAATAACCTGTTTTTAATAGTATTATGCCGCTTGTGGGTGGACCAATCCTCTTGAAATCCTGGGAGAAGCACAAATAACATAAAGGAGATGGGTCCATTATCTGACTCTGCTTTGCAAGAAAAATCTCCCTCTCTTTTCTATCTCAGTCTCACATTGTCTGTAAAATACAGCTTTGGCCACACTTCCAAACTAAAAGATTTGGAAACCTTTTGTACCAAGTCTGAGAGGAGCTGATGTGTTAAAATTGAAGTTGTACACCAGAAAAACCTGGCGATATCTAAGGCCCAGAGCTGCATCCAAGAGATGGCAGGTCCCAGGAGCTCCTTTGCAGAGGACCCATCCAAGTCTCCTTTTTGGGAGATCAGCTGGTCACAAACATCGAGCAGAAAGCTTCTCATCACCCACACCAATTAACAAAGGGCGATATTTGCCTTTAAACGAGCATTGCCCACTGCTCTGGCATCTCCTTCCCTCACTGCAGCAGCAGGAACTTCCGTGTTCTATAACCAGCAAGAAATCCAAAATGCAGCAAGAAATCCAAAACACAGCAAGAAATACAACAGCAAAAGGGTAGAAAAGGACAAAAAGGGGAGGAAAATCTTCCCCCAGCTCTCCCGTCTCAGGATCTCTCAGCAAATTTGATGCAGGTTTATCAAGGAATATAAACCAGAACTTTCTTCCCTCTTCCAAAGCCTGAGCTGAGCCTGGCATGGGGGGAAAAGTTTGCCAAAAACATTCTTGGCACAAAGGGGCACCTGCTGCCTTCTCTGCCACCTCTTGAATTTAAAAAAGATAAAACATAAAACTGAGGGAGCTCTTCCTTCCCTTCAAAATCTCTTTTCATTAGACAGGAAAGAAAAAAAATATTTTTTTAAACAACTTCAGTTTTCTGCAACAGCTGCACAGCTTGGAAGTCAAAGACTGCACTCTTCCTGCAATTATTTTTTTTTTTCCTTTAGGGAAAATAATCACTTGGAAGCATCTCTTCATTCAGCACCCAAAGAAACCATTTTAAAAAAATGAAGCGGATGCTCCATGTTGTTTTTCCTGAATAAAAGGAGACCTTAGGAATAAGAGATGATCATTAAATGACAGATTTTGAACATTTTGTCACTTCTGTCCTCTCTCTCTTCGTGCCAGCACAAATCCTTCAGCATTCTGGATTTATGGAGAGGCTCATGAATAAATTATTTTTTAAAAAACTTAGCATGGGGCTGGGGTAATAGTCTGCAAAATTATCACCTCTGCACCAAAAAGTGGTAAATAAAAGCAGCTCTTACAGGATACAGTTGGCTCAGATTTGTACTTTTGAGCACTTTCATTTTACTGCCCCAGCAAAGATTCTGGGGAAATTCCAAAGGGATTGCCATCAGCATGGACATCTAGGAAATAATGAGAATCTGCACCTCTGATTTTTACACCGAAGTTGATTCTGAAATACAGCTTCAGGTTATCTGGGTGTTAAGTATGAGTCAAACAAATAATTTAGGGGTTAAATCTGATCCATTTTCACAGATTTAAAAAAAAAATCTATTGGAACTGTAACAAGCTCAAGTGAATATTTTGATAAACATTATCTCTAGAAGTCAAGAATTGGTGAAATAACTTTCTCAATACACCACAGGGTTATAAATAATAAATATTCCCATAATCACCACACGTTCCACACAGTTCAACATTTCTTTAAAAATCTCCCACCTCTTTGCTAATGAACAAAGGGAGTAGAGGAACATGGGCATTTTGTTTTGTTTGTTTAAATATTGCTTCCAATACGTAACAAACAGGAGGTTTGGGCATCATTGTGTCACCAGACCTCACACAAACAGCCACACTTCCACCAAAATTTACCTTACAGCATGACTCAGTGGATAATAATTCTTCACTTAGCTGGAAAACAATACAGCTGGATCCACAGTGCAGCTACTGTTTGTACATTCATTTTTAATGCTCAGGAAAATATATATTTTTATTTTATTAAGTTTTTCTGCAAAACAAAGAAACAAAATTTTTTCCTCCTCCTTTTATCTTAATTATTACTATTTATTTTCTTTACACTTTGGAGTATTTAACACCTGCCTTTGGCATTATGGATAGAAAGCTCAGGAATCTCTGAACACATGGCTGTGCCAAAAAAAAAATAAAAGAAGAAGAAGAAGGAGAAGGAGAAGGAGAAGGAGAAGGAGAAGGAGAAGGAGAAGGAGAAGGAGAAGGAGAAGGAGAAGGAGAAGGAGAAGAAAGAAGAAGAAAGAAGAAGAAGAAAGAAGAAGAAGAAAGAAGAAGAAGAAAGAAGAAGAAAGAAGAAGAATAAAGAAGAAGAAAGAAGAAAGAAGAAAGAAGAAAGAAGAAGAAGAAGAAGATGAAGAAGAAGATGAAGATGATGAAGAAGATGATGAAGATGAAGAAGAAGATGAAGATGAAGAAGATGAAGAAGAAGAGTGTCACTTAGAGGTCAGAAATATTTGTTGTAACAGATTTTCTCCAATCAGTGTTCACTACTTTTTCTCTAAGGCACACACTCTGTCTTTAGGACCTCCTGACATCCAGGTTTGCTGTTGTTGAGCCCCAGGGTTCAGAGGGGGCTGTCTGGGGACATCACCTCCCTGTCCCTGACATCTGGGAGAGCTGATCCCCAGGATCTCCTCGGGAATTGAGTAGGAGTTTGGAGCAGTCCTAGATGCCCCTGGAACATCCCAGGGGATCTGTTCAGTTCTGCTCTGGAAGTGTGGTGGGTCTGGTGGCAGCAGTGGATGAGCAGCACACTCCCTCAGCCCACTGAGGGAGGGGCTGTCCCGTCCCTGGGAGACCCCCAGAGGGGACTCCAACTCCTCCTGACACATCCCTCCTGTACTTCCCTCCTTCTTCCAGAGAGCCAAGCCCCTGCAGGGAGGGGAAGCAAAGGAGGGCTGGGGCCAGCAGGGCAGCGAAGTATCCTCAGACAAAGATGGGGATCCTCTCACGGATGGCCTGGCGGCAGATGGGGCACACTGTGAGGGCCGTGCTGCAGTCTGGGCATGAGCCGTGCCCGCACTGGAACACCAGCTTGATCTGGTCATCGATGCAGATGGGGCAGGTGATCCTCTCCTCCATCTGCCGGTAGCGGCTCTGCAGCTCCTCCATCAGCTTCCTCTGCTCCGTGCACTCAGAGCTGGGGCTGCACTCCACCTCTGTGCTGTCTGTGGGCAGAGCTTGGCGTTAACCACACACGAGGTCAAAAAAACCCAAGACGATATTAGGGCAAAAGCTACGAAACAACCAGTAGTTTTGCAGGCACCTCTTAGAGAAGCAGTGGGACCAGATGTAACAATGATGTTACTGAAGGTTCCCTTCAATACCAATGATTTGGAAATTTGGAAAAGGAATGTAAAGGATTACAAGAAGGAGCCTGTAATTTTAGCTGGACACTTTTGGTTAATAGTAACACAACATAACCCGGATTGGAATGATATACAGTTACTGGCTACATGCAATGACAGAAACAGCTGCCCCTCAACAGCAGCATCGCTCACACCACGCTCTCCGCACTCAGTCTCGGCCAGGGGTCAAATAAAAATCCTCAGGGTGATGCTTTTTACAGCCTTTCCTCTGCTTACTTGCTCAGTGGTTTGGGTGTGTTTGGGACGGCTTGATGGGTTGAGTGTTTTTTTAAATCCTGTCTGAGATTCCTGCCTTGGTGCTCTGGAATATGCTGCTCCCTTCAAGTGAAAAAATTCAGAGTTGGTTGTGATATTCTGCCCCACTAATCCAGGAATCCTTACAGGGCACTGTGTTCTCTCAACCTCATGGTTACACTTGGGACTCCAATTTCTGGCTAAGAAATGTCTAAGAAATGTGTGTGTGTCTTTCAGGACACACATAGTCACACAAGAAGAAACCAGCTGAATCACTCGTGTTGGTTTCTACATAAATGAAGCTACATAAATGAGTCATTTGGTCGACTCTGTGAAATGAAAGAATCCCAAATCCTAGATAACTGGAGTTTGGGTAAACATTCTCTTGGTTTCAGCTCAATGCAGCTCTCACTGCTCATCTTCTGCTCCTGAATCATTGATTAGGCAGCTTTACACCTCATTACAGATGTCCTCAGCATTCTGGAATTAGTTGCACATCAGTAGTGCAAGAAGTGATTTCATATCAGTGGAGTTTGTCAAAAGCAAGCACTGAAGACATCATTGCCAGGGAAATCCTGCTGGTATTTAAGAGACCTTGATGTTCCTCCTCCACTGGAAATTTGCCTGCAAATGTCTTATTTGGAATTCCCATCATTATTTTGCTGCCAGTCTGCAGGCAAGACAAATGCTCCTGGTCCACTGTCAGGTCAAAAGTGGTATTTCTGGCATGATGGAGTTCCAAAGAGGAATTCTGGCTCTGCCAGCTGTGCATGTCCAATGCCATGGGACTGATTCCTGGTTTTTTTTTCCAGGCATCAAATCACAAGGCTCAAGCTTGACTCCAAAAAAAGCCCACAACGCTCAGTCACGAGCAGCAGGACATGCAATTAAATACTCACAGTGCCCTGAGAGTGATCTCAGCCCTCACAACCACTCTGGAAAAGTCTTCAGTGGCAACTTGCATCAATCCCACGGCAAAAGCAAACCCTGCTGCTGCCTTACTGACATTACAGCTCATCCTGACATGGACAGGAGACAAATCTGTCTGAAACTGGGCTGAAGAGCTTTATTGAAATACTCCACCTCTGAGATTTCTGGACAGCTGGGTCATGCCAGCCCTGCACAGACACTGATTTCTCAGCCAAGGGAGAAGTAAGGCTTGCACAAGATGTGATTTTTCCCTCCCTCATGAATTTTCACTGTTAAATCACCCCATGTGAAACCAGACTGGGAAACTTGGTGTTTGCTTTCAATATAAAAAATAAGCCAGGCCCAGGTAAAGCTCCCTTCAATGTCCTGTCCTGTCTATGCAGCTTAAGCTTGGCCTGGGACACCTGAGAAAATCTATTAAAATCTACTTTATTTTCTCTCTAAAGGTGGATAACACAACAGGCACACACACACACAAAGTCAAAATAAATGAACTCCCTTATTTCACTGAAAACCACTGATACCCCGCAAACTAAGCCTGTGCAGGACCCTCCCCAGAGCCCTGATCAGCAGGAACAGCCAGGACATACCTTGTTTCAGTTTTTTGGTTATTGTCACTTGACATTTGATGCACTTCTTCATCCTCCTGGAGCATTCTGCCACAAGTTACACAAGGAGAGATGACAATTAAACCCACAACAGACTCAAGAATATTAGATTTGAACAACCTGAGGCCTCCCTGGGTGATTAAGGGATTGTTCCTGCACAGAATGAGGTCATTACCTGCATTCTGAGCTGTGCCCTGCTCTCTTGTTTAATCGTTCCCAGGTCAGCAGCAAACACACCACCTTTAAATCCTCCCTGCTCTGTGCCCCTGGAGCTGCTGCAGCTCTGGGGGAAGAGGATGAAGCTCTGGCACAGAGTTCTGACTGAACTCCCTCTGTTCACATTGTGCCTTGTGAGATGAACTTGCTGACAAGTCTGAGCAGACTGCTCTTAAATCAGCTGAAATCCTGAAGAATGAAAAGTTATGAAAGCCAGAGGAGAGGGAAATCCTTCTCAGGAGGTTTTCGGGGGATAAAGCACTGACAGCCAGAACTGGCTTTCCTTCTGAATTACCCAGGCATTATAAGCCCAAGCAAAGCTGCCTGGAATCCCAATCAGCAGGTGGACAGAACATTCTGTGTTTTTCGGAGTTAACTACGGCTGTCTGAGATGCTGAAATCATGCTGGCGTTGCTTTAGGACACAAACAGCACAAAAGCTATGTGTCTAGATGCCTGGATTTCTGACAGGGCAAAGAGGGAGGCTGGGTGGGGAAACAGAGGAGAAAAACATGAAGAAAATTGGGAAAAAGTCAGTGTGGACTCACCTTCACACACAATACTGTGCTGGCATGGGAAGAAATGGATGAGCAAGGCCAGCTCTGAGCAGACCAGGCACTCTGTGGGCACTGCCACGCTGGAGACACTGAGGTTGGTCATGGTGTTGGGCGTGGTGTGCACACGGCGAAGGCTGCAGGTGATGGTTGAGCTCTCAGAAGAAACCTGCTGTTCCCTGCAACCAGGAGCCAGCAGGAAATGTGAGCCACAAGCCCCTTCAGCAGTGGGTAACATTGAATTATCCCTGGGAAATACCCACAGGGAGACAGAGCAGCACAGGCCCAGCTGGATAAACCTGGGAACCTTCCCTGCCGTGCTAGGACAAGCTCAGTTGGGATCCTGACCAGTTCTGTCCAAAAAGAAAGGAAAAGAGCAGGGATCTCTAATATTTACACAATCTGAAACTGCATTTTTGGAGGTAACAGCTAACAGCACAATTATTTGCTGAAAGCAATAATGAGCAATGTCAGCCTGACAGAAATGACATTTTTTAAGCAAAAAACCTCAATCCAACACATATTCCACTGACAGAATTCCTGTGGAAGATGTTAAAGGGACACTTTTCACCTGTTATTTGCAGTGGCCAGTGACAGCACTGCTGGGTGGCTCCTCCTCCGGCAGGAACAGCACCGAGTCTGTGCCCTCAGATCAAACAGAACTCTGCTTTCATGTTTACAAAGTCCAAATCCAAAAAAAATGTTTCTCAGAACCCGAGATAAAGCCAGCTCTGACTTGTTCTACTCTCCCTTTTCTCAGCTATTTCTCTTATCAGCTTCAATACAAGTGTTTATCTAGCACTGGAATAAATCCTGTGGGTTTTGGTGCCCACTCTTTTTTTGCACTCTCTTTAAATATCTGTCAATAAGGAATCAAATGAAAGCAAAATAGAACCCAGGATTACTCTGCAAAGTTGCTCTTGGCCTCAGAGGCTCCTCAGATTGCCAAGGGGCTGAGTTTGCACATAGCCTCATTAATCTGCTTTTCCCAATCCTTCCAAACTCAGCACACACACTCACATCACCACTCCAGAAACTCAGGGCAGCACCAGAACAAAGAGGATGTGCTCAGGGTGATGTCCAGAGGCTTTCAGAGATTCTCCATCCCTCCTGGAGCAACTGCAGAGACACCAGGGCTGGTGAAAACTCTGGTTTGCAAGGGTTTCCTGAGGCTCATTACCTGAATTTCTGTGAGAAGTCTTTGACGATCTGGACAATCCTTCCATCTGTAATGAGGTCCAAAGGAGACTTTCCCCGGTGATTTGCATAATTAATATCTGCTCCTTCTTGTGCTAAGTAGCAGGCAATGGCAGTCCCAACATTCAGCTCCACATTTCCCAGGAAGCCAGAAGCCTGCAGCTAAAAGAAATTGAGAAACACACTCTGTCAACAGAAGAAGCTTCTGATCCTTTGGCTCTGATTTGCATCAAAATCTAAATAAAGTCTTAAACCTTGTACTGAAAACTTGGAAGTGGAACTTTTTGAAAGCACACAAAGGTACTTTCTGCCTTTACATAACTAATGGGTTCAAATCTTACATTCCAGGGCCAAGAGTGCCTCAGACTGATCCTACCTGGTGATTATCCCTACAAATCAGAGAAACGGGCATTCAGCTGAAGGCCCTACAGGGGCTGCAGGGGCCCTAAGTAACAGCTATTTAAAGAGCCAAACTTTGATGTGCACGATCCCAAATAATTTGAAGTCAAGTCACGTATTCCACTGACTTAAACAACCAGAGCATGTCAGTCAGGGCAAGTAAAATCAGATGTGAAGGAATCTACAGCATTTAGAGATGATGTTACTGTAAATAATATTGGAAATGGTAGGCACAGATCCCTCTTGATGACTTCCAGGACTTTGGCCCAGCACTTGAGCCATCATCTCCTGGTGGTTTGGTAAGGAGCAGGATGGAAGCACAATGCACTGGGCTCTTCCAAGCACCAACAGCTAGAAAAGGAGGAATGGGTGGTTTTGCTTATTCTGACCATTTCAAATTAAATAATAATAATAATTTAACAAAATCTATGCTAGATTTTCCAGTGAATTAAATTATCTCTGCACCTTTGGCCTATCCTGAACTGATTTCTAGATCTTTATATCCACAGACACAGAGCAGCAGAGAGAAATCCAGTTCAGGCTTTGTAACAACTTCCCCCTTCTCCTCCAGGCTACTCCATCTACCCTCTCCCTCTGCTGTACATCTGCAGATAACTGGGTGTCTGTGGTCAGCTCTCCTCATATTTTCCATGCCATCAAACAGAAATTAATTTCTGTGGTTCTGGAGCGTGAATTAAACCCAGGAGTTTCTTGGCTCTGGATTCATGACCTTTCCCATGTCCAGAAATATTTTGTCTCATAAAAATATCAGAGACAGCTCTGAATTGTTGTCTGACTATGTCAAGTTTCATGCTATAAATTCAAGAGGATCTATTCCTGCTTTCCCACAGGCAAGGCTGGTTTCTGTGATCCCCATCTGGACTGGATGAAGGAACTGGAGGGGAACTTAGAGTTCCCCTGCCTTCCTTCACCCCCTTAGACTCCACAGCCTGCTGATATTGTAACAGAGATTTTCCTGCTGGAATTCTGCTCACCTTGGAAAGGAGGGACGCTCCCATCTCCCCCTCCCGCTTCTCCATGGCGAGGGCCATGAGCTGCTGGCGCTCCAGGGCCATGTGCATAGCCGTGTCCCCATCCTCATCCTCAGCATTGACATCGCTACCCTGGCTCACCAGTAGCTGCACCATCCCCATGTGGCCCTGGATCACAGCCAGGTGTAGCGGGCTCTGGCTCCGGTTGTTTTTCAGGTTCACATCACAGCGACCCTGGAAAAGCAAGAATTGTATCACAGGGCAATGTGGCTGCTAAGCTTGACTGGAAAACTGAGAGTGTGGGGCCTGGGAGCTCCCAAATCCCATTCTATCCTCACTGAACATTCCATTTCCAACCCATTTTATTCTTAGCTAAGACACCCTTCTCTCCTCCCTGACAGTACCACAGGAAAATCCCCCAGGAATGCCAATCCCTGTTTTTCAGCCTGGCAAACAATGCCAGCTCCTCAAAGGGACAGGGACATCACTCTGGGGACCAGTGTTAACTCTGGAATGGTTGGGAAATATGGGGCTTGGGAGTGGGACAGGTTTTCCTGATGGTGGTTTTGAGTTCTTTCTTACCTCTTTGATGAGAATTTCAGCAACTTCCATGTGGTTATTGAGAGCAGCAAGGTGCAGGGCAGTGAATCCGTCTTCCTTTTTGGAGTCCACCAGCTGCCGAGCCCTGGCCAGAATCTTCTTTATGGCTCTAGAGAGTTGGAGAGGTTATTAGAGATGGAAGAACTAATTTCTGCCTCTCCTCTGCAGGAGTTATCAATGTTTTATCAGGTGGTGCTGACATCAGCAATGAAGAGCAGTCCCTCAAACCCACAAATTGAATTACAAGAATACAACAAAAGCCCTCAGATATCATTTAATAAAGTAGGAGAAAACCCCTTTGCTTCGAAAATAATGAGTAGATTTATCTTTGGAAGAGTTCCAGAGACTCCCAGTCTTTACTAAGACCTTCTCCTGTCCTTCCATGTGTGAACCCAAACATCTGAGACTGTCCAGAAACAGACAGATTTCCTAGCCTAGGGAAGCATGAAAACGATGGGCTGGGAAAAGCAGGCAGGAGTTTCCTGTGAAGGCCTGAAGGAGGCAAACAGCCCTATCCAGCCATATCCAAACCCAAGAAATGTTTAACCAACTACCCAGAAGCACACCTGTCACCCTCTTAGAAAGCCAGCACAAATTAACATCTGCGAAAGGCATAAAAAAGGAAAAAAAGAAAGGTCACTTACAGCTTGTTGCCTTTCAGGGCAGAATAGTGGAGCAGGTTGAAGCCTTGACAGTTCTGGACAGTGAAATCTATGTTGGGAACTTCAGTGAGAATATCAATCACGACTTTGTAATCCAGAGTGATAGCATAATGAAGGGGGGTGTCTCCCTGGGAATCCTACACATGGAGACCAAAGCAAACACAGGTTACCAACCTCAGAAACTCCAAGGAAACCCCCTGTGAGCTGCTGAAACTCCTGACCAGCTTTGAGGGACTGACCCAGCACACAACGGCCCCACCAGCACACAAACAAACCCTAAAAATGGGCTGGGTTCAAGTCACCATCACTGCCTGCCTTAAAAAAATCTCTAAAATCTTATTGCTGGGAACAGGAGTGTGGCCACAACACACAGGAACAGCAGCTCAGCTCTCCCTGGAAGCCTGAGTCCAGTAGAGAATGCTGATGTGATGAAGAAGGGTCAGACTCAAACCTGGAATTTCAGGGTACTGAAATTCAGGAATATTTCCCAGTGCATTTTCGGAGGACGACTTTTGAATTCTACAAAGCCACAAATGGTGGGAGACATTAAGAAGCACCTCCCCACCTCAAAAAGAACAAAACCAAACCCTCAAAAGCCCCCTCAAAAAGTCCTCAAACACCTCCCTGCCCCAAATCCCTGCGGTCCCAAACTTACTGGGAGGTTGACATCACAGTTGAGCTCACAAAGGGCCCTCACCACCTCTGTAAACCCTTGGCTGACAGCAATGTACAGGGCTGTGCACTTGGCATTGTTCAGCAGGTCTGCACTGGCTCCTTTAGCCAGCAGCACATGGGCAACTTCAGCTTGGTTTCTGGTTTAAAGCAAGGACAAAACCAGATCAGAATCAATCCAGTAAGTCAACACAGTAAATTCTTTCTCTTCACAAAGCAACAGAACTCAGGTTTTGTATTATCTCAGCGCCACCCCACTTCCTCTCAGTGTTAAAAAAACCTCAAAAAAACCTTCCTAATTTGCGCTCCCTTCTCTAAATCAACAGGAATTCCCACTCTTAATGATGAATTCTTCCCTGGTAACTGATGACAAAATTCAAAATCTCATCTTGCTCTGGAAAATGCACAAACTTAGAGAAATCAACCAAACAAATTGATCTCAAATAATTAAATCATGTCCCCCATCCCCTGAAAAAAAAATCATCACTAAAACCTCCTTATCAATTTTTTTTTTCTGATCCTCCTTGAAAATTCCAAGCATAGAAACTGAACTAGCTGTGAAGGATAAGAAATGCTTGGGCTAAGAAATCCTGTGCTAGGTAGAAATCCTTCTGGAAAGTAGGATGCTGCTGTAGAAAAAGAAATACTCCTATGGGCTGAAGCTCAAAGGCCAATTCCCAACATAAAAACCAGAGAAAAGTTTCCACCAGCCACACATCCTTCACATAGAGTGTCCATTTGGATCTAGGATAGAAATTTTCCATCAGGGACAGCAGGAGGGGAGGTGTCCTACCCAAAGGCTGCATAGTGCAGCGCTGTATCCCCCTCGTCATCCTGCAGGTCGACATTGGCGTGTGCCTGCAGCAGCATCTTCACCACCTCCAGGTGCCCCTGGTAAGAGGCAATTTGCAGGGCAGTCCTGCCCTGGTTCTTGGCATCAACCTTTGGGAAGGACAGAGACACAGAAAATTAGAGATGCCTTTGTCCTGTGCCCAGAGAAGGGTGAGAACATCCCAGAAATGCCAAAGGGTTTGTGCCCTGCTGGCTCCTCTCTCTGGCCAGCAGCTCCCAGCTGACCTTGTTCCAGAACATTTTGGAAGGGAAAGGGGACAGCACGTTTAGTCAAGAGGGGATAAGTGACAGAAAAGAGCTGGGAGCTCTACAATAGCAGAGCCCTCCTGCCAAATTGCTCTGTGCCTGTGAGCATAACACTCCTTGGTATCTCTGCCAACAATTCCCTTCCCAAGAGGAAAATGTGTGAGGAAATCAAATCAGCTTTGCATAAGGCTCTGGAGGTGCCAAGTCCCCGCTGTGCTGTGCTGCTGTAGGTACTTCAGTGGGTGCAGTGGCTGCAGGGGAGATCTCAGGGCTCAAGTGCTGCAGTGAGAGCTTTGGAGAGTTAAAGAAGAACAAGAGGTAAAAAAAGGCAAAGCAGCTACTGAAGCCAGTGGGAGGCTAAGAAGAGGAGACAGAGGCACAAAACCTCAGCAGACTGGCAAGGAGAACAAGTTAATAATCAAGGTTTTTTTCCCTGCAGCTGATTTTATGCAGCAGTTAGAGCACAGGAGAGGCAGCACTTCCCTGGATAGGCTCAAAATGATGGGTGAGTCCTTTGGGCAAAGAGGAATTAGAGGTCACTGCTGCTCTTCCATTTACATGGGGCAGACAGTGCTGATAAGCTGGAAAAACCCTGCCAAGCAATTCCAACTTCCTCTAAGTAAGCCTCAAATCCAGCCTGATCTCTCTGTAAGACTCTAATAGAAATAGCTAATTTATTAATATAAATATTAGAGTAGAAATTGAAGTCTCATAAAAATGACAGATCATATAATGGATTCCTTACTCTTGGGACTTTCCTATCTGGGATCAATTTAAAAATTGCAGGTATTTGTGTCTCCTTCCCAGAAGCCAAATAAAGTTTATAAATAAAGTATAATAAATAGCAGACAAATAACCACTAAATCAGCTTCACAGGGGTTCCTCCAGAGCTGATCCTGGGTCACAGCCCCACAGCCACAGCAAAACCTCTTTTTGTCACCCATGGTTTCCAAGGACACACTACTGAAAGACTTTGGTGGCACTTTTTTTCTCCCCTGTTCCTAAACCCCGAGCCCCTCTCTGAAGGAGGTTTCAGGTGATGTCATCCTGACAGTTTGGCACACTGCAAGCACAGAAATTGTCCAGCAACGAGTCCAGCCCAGTTCCTGCTCCAGTCAAACATAAGACACTGCACAGATCTGGGCAGCTTTTCTGCCTCCTGATTCCAACAATATGATTTTACAAGGTCCTTTAAGGACAAGTGCAGCCAGACACAACCCCTGCCTTTCTTTTCCAGCAGATCCTCTGATATCTGCTCCTGTTTTCATACAGATAAACCCCTCCCCCCCTCATTCTACAGCTGCAGTGGCCACACAGGAAATCTGGGAAAAGCCAGCTTGGGGAACGTAGTGTAAGGACTTTAGTACAAATTTATTGCCACAAATCAGAGGCATAAAATATGCACATTTAACTTGTGAATTTAATCCTAAATTGCAGCAAAACAATGTTTCAACTGTTAGGAGATATCACTAAGCCTGACAAAGCTATTGTTTTTCTAGCATCCTTTCCCCTGCTTGACTACAACCTTTTATGATGATGTTTTAAAAAGCAGAAACAAAGGTAAAATAGCCATTTTTGTCCTCCAAACTTGCCTTGTCTGGGTATTTCTGAAGGAGCTCCCGGACTTTGGCTGTGTTGTTGAGGGCTGCACAAATGACCAGGCACCCTGCGTGCTCTGACTCCGTCCTCTGTGACAGCAGCTTCTCCAGGACAGTCACCAAAGTACCTGAAAAAAAGACAAAAATGGACCTGTCACCACACATCTCAGTGTCTGAGGGGACAGGTGTCACAGCTCCCCAGCAGTGCAAAGTTAAAAATTTTGCAAGTTCTGCCTCAAGTCTGATTTGAGTAAACAGTTCCAGATCCATCTACATCAGGAAAATAAAAAAATCCTGGCAAGTCTGTGCTCTCTTCCACATGATCCTGACACCCAGAGGAAATAAGGATGGTCAAGCCACTTTTTTTTTTAATTTTTTTAAAATTCTGAACAGATGTGCAAAGTACCAGAAAATATCCTCTCCATGCACCATGTGATCCCAAACTCAATTTCAGGGCAGATTAGGCAAAACAATTGTTGATTTCACAACAGTTCCACACATGGACCTGGGAATATTTCACAAGCCCTCAAGAATCAGTGTCTTTGTACAGGAAACAGGATGGAACAGGGAACTGAGACAATGCAAGGATGAGGGAAATACTGAATCTAGGGCAGAGCTGTGCTTAGCAATTCTGAGTCCTAAATTCTGCATTTTTACATTAAACCCTGCATTTCCCAGTCCTAAATCCTGCATTTTCCTGTCAAGGCCAGCTTTGCTTGCCCAGTAAAGCACAGCTGGGTTTTAGTCTGCATTTTCCCATTAATCCCAGCACTTCCAAGTCCTAAATCCTGCATTTTCTTAAGGCCCAGCTTTGTTTGCCCAGTAAGGCACAGCCAGACTTTAGTTCTCCATCTAGGGAAGAACATCTGGATTTTGCCACCATCCAAAGAGCTGTACCAAAGAGCTCCCAGCCCCTGGGGAACCAGGTTTGTCCCTCACTTTTGGATTCCTTGGCACTCTCCGTGGTCATCAGGTTGGCCTCCTCCTCCCTCTGGTAGGCTGTCAGGCAGGCAGGGTTGAAGGTCCAGGACTGTCCCCCCACTGACACTCGCAGATCTCCATCCCCATAGACCTTGATCACCTTCCCAATGTGCCCCAGGGTCTGCAAGGAAAAAAGAGGATTTTTTTTCCCCCCCAAAGCTGTAGTCCTCAGACCCAAAGCCGGGGGTTTTTTGTTTGTTTTTTTTCGTAAAGCTGCAGCTCCTGCTGTGTGAAAAGAAGCACTGGACAAGTGACACACTCGCAGACAGCTCCCACTTCGAGGACACCAGAGGGTTCTCACCAGTTTCTCTTTCACTGGTTTGCCCTAGAAGGGTTTTCCCAGACACACTGGAAATGGCTGGGAAAGGAGGTGCTGAATAGAACTGATCAAGCTGGGACTGTGGATGGTTTCCTCTGGGCTTTAACAGCTCCTGGAGGAACCTGTATCCCACTTTTAGCTATACTGGGCTGATTTTTCACCTCCTTGCCTCATTCCAGAGAACCAGGGAGGGCATAAGACTTTGGTGATGGAAACCTCTCACATGAGCTGGTAGCAGCCAAATCCTTTTTGTTGGATTCACTCTTGTCCTGTTTGGGTGCCGTGGACACAATGGTGTTACCGAGAGCCACCAGCACCAGGGGCTGGGCAGGGGCTTCCCTGCAAGAATTCTGGGGGTTACAAGCCCATGTCTAAGTGCTGAGGGCTTGGAGAAGCTCAGGAGGTTACTGGACTGTCCTGGAACTGGCGCGCACTCACAGGTGCCATCTCATCTGTCCACTCCCCATGACCAGGTTGGAACCGCTTCACTGTTTCCATATCATCTATCACCCGGACCACATCACCAACCCAAAAGGTGTTGAGCTACAAGAAAAAGAAAGTCATAAGCTTTTGGGGAATTAAGCCACACACACACACAGACTAAAAATGAATAGTGATCAGCCCCTTCACCCCAATCCCAAAATCCCAACAAACAAGACACCTGCTGAGTCAAAAAACAGCACTGCACAACATAAATGCAACTATCAAGAAAGCTGTAACCACTGAGCTGCAAAATAAACACAATCCAATTCTCTTTTAAGCCAAGTGCACATTTAAGTAGGGAAATAATTTGGAACAGGCTGTTTCTTAATTTGTTTTGCTCCAAATTGTTTATAATTAATACCGGATAAAGCATGGTAGTTTTCTTGGTCCTTGCTACACCTGGCTTGGCACTGGAGATTTTAATTTGCTTTAATAAGGAAGCTAAATCTGTTTGCTATTTAAAACCGAAAAGGGAAACCAGGGTTTATCTGTGCTGGCAATCTGCCAGACACTGCTCACTGAGCTAGGAAGGGAGCAGTGTCAAAACACACTTTTCAGAGCAGACTAATTTTGTGTAAACAGTCTGACACTGCATTTTCCACTGGTATTGGGAGTTTTTAGCATTGTAACCTTGCTCAGATCAGGATTTTGCGGTTTTCCAGAAGCTTCTTCACTACCTAATTATCTCCATTTCTAATCATCTGCTTCTCAAGTCCTCAAACCTCTGGGGAAGGCCAGAGCTGTGAGCTTTGGAAATGTAGCCACAAAATTAGAAGAGCTGGATTAAAGACTCAGAAGAAATCAGAGAGAAGTGAGACAAAGATGCAAAAAAGAACAACATGGAGACACAAAAAAAATCAAAGGGAAATTATGTGGGGAGAAAGGTTCATTACAAAGGCAAGGCAGCTGCAGAAGGATGAGAGACTGGAAGCTGAAATTAAGAAATGGAGTTTACCTTAAGGACTTGCAAATGGGGAAGTTCATAAAACAGGACAATAGTGTTTAGAAGAGCAGGGTGTTCCTTCAGCACCTGCTGGGGACACACTGAGCCCTAACCCAGCAGGTTCAGTGATTTCCTTGCAGCATTTCCAGGCCACATGCAGCACCTACCTTGGTCAGGGCTCCAGGATGGAAAGTCCAGCGGGTCTCACTGTTGAACTGGACCCTCACGTCCCCTCTGTCTGTGATCCTGTGCACAGTCCCTGTCTGGCCAATGAACTTTTGACAAAAACAAGAACAAGAGGGGAAAGCCCCAAAATAAATCACGTTGTTTAATAGTGGGGAAAGAAGATAGCCAAGGTATAGATGGCTAAATCACCCAGCATTTCCCATCCACAGTGCTCCCAAACCTTTATTCTGTATTTTCCTGCTAAGCCCAGCATTTCCCAGTCCTAAATTCTGCATTTTCGTGTTAATCCCAACATTTCCAAATCCTAAATTCTGCATTTTCCCATTAATCCCAGCATTTCCAATGTTTGCATGAAATTTTCTGCAAAAAGGAGGGGAAAAGCTCCTCTGAAAGAGCAGCATATTGGGGGAGGAGGGGGATAAGAGTTAAGTGCAGAAATGGTTGAAAATGCAGCACAAGTTTTCCTCTTTCCAAATGACAGAGGTGGGCAGGGAATCCAACTTTGTTCTGCATTATAAAATACGAGCAAGGCAAATTCTGAGAGGGGGAAAAAGGGCAAGGTACACAAAACAAAATATAATTGTGCAGTGCAGGGTTCTAGATCTACTCTTTCTGGCAGGTCTTGAGCAGCTCATGGTTTATAAAGAGGTAAAAAATGCCAGTTTCTGAGGTGACAGGAGGTTCCTGTTTCTTTGTTTAATATCCCTCTCCCCTGCATTCCCCAACAACAGGAATTCAGGAGCACAGAGGTTTAACAACCAACAACAGACATAGCAACACCCAAAATCTACAGTTTTAGGGGGTGTATTCCTGAGCTGGAGAAAAAAATCTCATGGCACCACTGGCAGCTTTGTTAAAGTTCATCAGAAGATGACAAGTTCCTGCCTGCCAGGCTGAAAAAAAAAAACCCCAAAAAAGAGGCTGATGCTCACTTAAGAGATTTCCACATTGAAACTGAAATGACAGAATTTGCCTTGACATTTTAAAGCCTGATTTCAAAAAGTCTGCCCACCTATAGGGCAGGTTGGGCCAGGATAGATATTTAACATATCTTGATAGTTTTATAGCATTTATTCATGTTATTTACAGTAATAGCTGCCATATCTATCTTTATTTCCTTTACTCTCTGGGCTTTTTTTAAAACAACAGGTGACTGCAGACTGGTGGCTCTTCAATTTAAAGGCAAGTCTAAGCTCCAAAAATATGATATGGGCTGAGAAATTTTAGCTGTGGTGAGGGACAGAGCCCACTGTTGACAAAACATAACTGTAATTACCAGTAATGCACAGAACAAAAGAAGCCAAACAAGGAATGGATCCAGAACAACACAGAAAAGATCCATGGCTCATTTAGAAACAAACAAACCAGCAGTTTTTGGGTTTTTTTTCTGCTTCCAAGACTTTTGCAGGGATCCACAAGGCCATTCTCATCCAACAGAGCCTAAAAATAATTCTGACTCCAGTGTACTATCACTAAAAAAATCCGTATTTGTGATTCAATTCAACTTTAAGGTCACATGAAGATGTTCTCAGGTAACTTCCTGAGCAGTGCAGAATGAGGGAGAGGCTGGAATTGTATCCAGGGAGAATCCAGGGACATACCTCAGCCATTTTGGGATTCCAGCCTCCATGGCCCTCCTGCATCTCCCGCAGGATGTCAATGTCCAGCAGGCACTTCACTTTGTCCCCGTGCTGGAAGGGATGCCTGTCTGTGCTCTCCTTCCTCTGCAGCTCAGCTGGTTTCCCTGGGGACAACAAGGACAGCACCCACAGGCATGCAGGGTGCAGTCACACATCTTGGGTGCCTCACTTTGTTAGAAGGGTTGAAAATTAATTAGGGCAGAATGGTGAAAACTCCCTTTCATGCCCTATACACTCTATAGGGCAACAGAGGAATCAGTAGGATTTAACTATAATTGGATATTAATAAAGCATAAGCAGCTCTAACGAGATACATTTTGTCCCTTTGCAGAGCAGGGAATGCCTCTCAGGCTGTGGCAGACACCAGGAACTGCTCTTAGCAATCCATTCACCCACAACTGCTGTTCAGTCACACCCACACAGCACCCAAAATTAGTTCTGCTCTCCACAGGCAGGCAAAGAATTCACTCTGAGGAGTTCCTTACCCTCCTACCCTTCCCATGCAGCCATACCCCCAGAAGTAAGTTCCTCACCCAACCCTTCCCTTGCCTCATGTTCTTGCCAAACTGCTCAGGGAGAGAAAAGTGTGAGAAAGACTGATAAAAATCTACCTGAAAAGTTTTATCTGAAAAGTCGGATAAAAACCCTGATTCTGCTGCTGCAAACACGAGAACAGGACCCTCTGGTTTCCTTCAGGTCAAAGATGGTCCCTGCACTTCATTAAAAAAAAACAACCCCACAACTACATTACACCTGAGTAAAAAAAAAAGTTTCAAGTCCAAAACCACAAGGAGCTTCCTTGGACTTAAGAGGAAAGGGGGCTTGCAGCAAGTTGCCAGTACAAACATCACCTTTTCCCATCACTTTTTCTAATTTTTGTCTGTTCCATTCTTCAAAGTCTTCCTTTGGTCACATTCCACTTTTGGCTCTACCAGGAGAGTATTTGCTCTCTAAAAGCACAGTGGACAACAGCTTGCCTGAAGAATGAAAAGCTCTGGATCGGCAAATGTAACAAAAGTGAGAAAAGTTGAATTCTCTGTAACAGAGTGGGAATTTCCTGCACTTCCAGCAGAATTTGTATTCCTTGGGATACAACTGTGGGTATCTGATGGTTTTACTACTGAAAGTCCAAAATATTTCATGAAGCACTCTGAGATCAAGCAGTATGTTGACACACAAACCAAATTCTCTCAAATTATGGTCATTATGGGAGAACTTTAGAAAACTGGGAGGTGGTTTTATGTCTTCCAAACAAAAAATGTCTTCAGTGCCAATGGCCACATCAATCACAACTTCTCAACAAAGACTTCACTCAGCAAAGATTTGTCTCTACCCACCTAATTTTGGGAGGTGCTCCTTGTAGTAGAAGCCCCCAGAAGCCTCCACAGTACATTTGAGGTCCACTTTTCCCTTGTGGCCCACCCTGTAGACGTTGGTGGTTCCATCTGCCCAGGTGACACTGGCAACACTGCGGCCGGTCTCCACATCCCAGCCCCGGATATCAACCACACGGCCAGTCTTACCCTCACCCCCTGAGGGGAAAAGAAGTGAAAGTCAGGAAAATTGGATCATGAGACAACTCATTTTGACCACTTAGGAGGGAATCTCTGCATTAAATTTGCTGAAACCCAGCGAGCCGTTCATTTTGGAATGATTCTGTGGAGAATTCCTGCTGTGCAGGAGCATGGCCTAGTTAGAGAACACACACATGGTGTCATGGCACCACACTGTGGCAACAAAAAAAAACTCAGCAGTGCTGCAAAACCCACCCAGGATCTTTAAATCTCTCCCCAACACCATCCATGTGGGGGAACATCAAATAAACTTTGTTTTCTTCAAGCAAGGAGCAGCTGGAAGAATCCAGAACAGGAGGATGGATGTGTGGAGGTGAACATGGCTGAGCACTGGGCTGTGCTCTGACCCAAGGGACAACACCCGAGCCTTATGAAGGCAACCAGGGTTTGCAGATTCCCAACCCCACAGTCACTCTGTGGTGCACTTGGGCAAGTCCCAGCATTTCCCCAAACAGGGACAGCAACATCTGTCACACTGAGGAACTTCTGATTGTCTACAAAGTCCTGAAATCTAACAGCTTTGACGGAGCTGAATTCCTCATTTACCAGCACATCTAAAAAGCACAATACAAATGCTGGTGGCAGTTCTACTCATGACATGGCTGTGGATGGGGGCAGCTCCACCAAAACCAGAGAACAGCTGAGGGGGGGATTTAGAGTTCCTCTCACTGCTCCTGCTCAGGGAGCTGCTTTCAGGTCAGCACCACCATAAGCAACACAAGTCTCAGACATGTAAATGCTGCTCTGAACTCAAAAGGATGGATAAGCTGTATTGAGCATAAGCTCCTTCTGCACTCAGACCCTGCAAGAATCCACATCCTCTGCTGAACTCAGAGCTGCAATAAATGGCAGAGTCAACTTTGGAAACCTTTGAACTTTTGAGTTAATTCTTCAGGGGCAAAAGAAGCTGTAAACACCACAGTGTGTGTGCAGGGCTCTGGGACAAATGGGCAGGAAAGGTCCCTTAGCCCTGGACCACCACACAGAAATTGCTATCAGGGACCTGGGGACAAGTATTACAACCCAAAAGCAGCTATAAAAAGGCATTTTTGTCCCACTGCATTTTCAGCCTGAAGGTTTCAATTCCTGTAGAAAGCTGGAACCACTCTCCAGTAATCACAGAGTCTTTCATCAAGCGCAGCATGTGAAACCCTCCTTAGAGATAATTTCTCCTCACTGTTCTTGAAAGTATCCAAATAAGAACACTCCACAGAACCCCCAAAGAAAATAGATACTGTACACAAAATCAGATAAACTTTCCACTATCAATTAAAGCTTTTTCAAGAAGAGAGGAGTCTTCATTTTCTTGTAACATGGTGTGCATTTACAATTTTACACAAGAGCTTCCAGGATGGTTCCCAGTGGTTTTCACATCTATGAAAGATGAGCAGCAAAACTTCCTCCCCACACCCTGGATGTGGTTTATGTCACAGATATGTGACAAACAACAAAAAAAAGGAAACCATGGATATTAATTACTCTAAAGAACAGGCACCTGCATCACCTGAACAAGTCCCCTAGAAGCTGCTGCTCAAGATGAGGATTTTTAACCAGCAAAAATAAAAGAATACTTTATATATACATAAAAAAATACACACACACACATACACACACACACACACACATATATATCTATATCTATATATATATATACATATATACATATATACATATATATACACACACATATATACATATACGTATACTTAAATGGTGTTCTACAGGACATCCCAAAGGCAGCTTACCATCCTGGTTACCCCACTCCCAGTCAGGCCCACGGACCACTTTAGCCCCCTGGAAAGTCCCTTTTAATGTGATGCGAGTCAGATTCTGTCGAGGGCTCACTAGGACCCTGGAAAAACAAAATCAGAGGAAATAAGTGAATTTGTTATTGTTACAGACACTGACAAAGCTCTGTTCCAGCTGACAGCTGTCACATGAGGATCATCCTTCACTTTAGGGTAATGGACATTACTGGGCCTGCACAGAGGCATTAATGGAGCTCAGCACATTCTGTAACCAGAAAATCAGAGCAGCTCACACCAGCAGTGCAGTGGCTGGACTATTCCCAGACTCTCACAGACCTTCCCACCTGCCCTGCATCCCACACCCCCCTCCAGCGGCAGGGAGAAAGAAAAAGGTACCTACGTGATAGTGAACAGGGGGTCTGATGTCCTGTTAAAGCAGCTCCCAATTCCCATAATGTCACAGCAATCTATCTGCTGGCTCTGTGTGTGCTGTCCCCAGGCTGCCACAAAGTCTTCTCATGAGTTACCAAGCCACCAAAATCCACAGGGACCTGCCTAGTTGCTCACCCAGGGTACAATCCCCTTTTCTAGGTAACTGCAAAAGTGCCCCAATCCATGCCCCTGGAGCCAGACAGGCTCTTGGCAACTCCCAGCCCAGACAGAGCAACCCACGTTCAGCAGCTGTTCCACAGGGCAAGGGGAGGGGAAGCTTCCTGGGGGTAGGGCTGACCTCAGAGCACTGCATTTATTTTCCATCTAATACCTCCAGAGGGAAGATGGAGACTCGGGAGGATAAAAAGCTTATGCTTGAACTTACTGTTTACTTATCCAGCAAATGCTTAAGTCTTTTACGTTTCTTAACCTATCTCCAGATCTCCCACCTGTGGTTTACAGCCTCATATTTCAAAAGAGGGAGAGATTATTTATGCCTTGCTCTTATAATCACTGAATGTTCATTAATTACCCAGGCTGGAGCTTAACAGGAGAAAGATGAGGGCCCTGTATTTGGAGGGTTGAGATTATGCCTGGTTTAAGCACCATCAAGGCTGGATATTGTTATGAAAGAAGATAATGACAGTGGAGGAAAAAGCTCAGCTATAAAGAGCCACTGCTCAGCATTCATTTTATTGCACTGTGTCAGGCACTACAGACTGGCTTCAAAAACCAGTGTGGATTTGGGTATAGCCTCTGAAACAGCTCAGATGTTCTCACTGCATTTTGTTCAATGTTCTTCTAAAAATTTATCAAAGATGTCTAAGCCAAGCCCTGAGACAAAGTGATAAAAATAATAATTCTCTCTTCCAAACCCTTCTCTCACATGGGATGAGATTCAACGCAAAGATTCTTAGTGACAGTAAAATAAAGCACCAAACTGAGCTTAAGATGCTTAAATAGCAAAATACCCACCACTCACTCTATTCTTAGCAGAAGAAAAACCTTCTTGGATTATCATGTAACAGTGGTCATTCCCCAGCTCAACACTCTCACATTAACCTGCCACTTCCTCTGAAATTTGTGGATGGGGACCAAAAAAACAAAGCTGTGATCAATTTAGGAAGCTGACCTTCCTTAAAGAAGGAAAATGTAAGAAACTCCATCTTCTGTCAGATTGAAAATGCTGGGGGCCACCCACCAGAACTGTCCTCCTTCACCAGCCTTACCAAAATTCTGACCCTGCATTAAACCACTGCTAACCAGCACCACCAGAGTGATGCAAGCACCAGATCTCCTCAGCCAATGATTCTTACCAATCTAATTCAACATTTTGCTCCAAATACTGGATAACTACCAAAGTTACTCCGTGTGATGCAAAAATACCCCCGGGATAAATTTAATCACTGTGGTACTGCCTTTAATAACAATGTTGATTGCCATAGCACAAGTCTGCAGCCATTTCTGCCCTACAAATTCCAAGGATATTAAATTACTGCAGAGCCCAGAAAGCACTTGGGAGCATGTACTGTATAGAATGAAGTTATGGCTCTCTCCAGCACGATGGGAACCACTCCCTGGGGATGTTCTGCCTGTGCTCAAGTTTCTCTGAGGTGCTTATTTGGCTTTTGACATCCCTGAGAACTCTGCTGCAGCATCTGGAACAGCAGCATCACCCCTGCTTTAAAGAGAGGGATGGGAGATCCAAATCAACTGATCTGGAGAAATTGAAACAAAAACTACTTTTAATTTGCAGCAGCAAGGCAGAGCTCCTTCGCACCAGGCATCGTTGATGTGTTTTGTGAGACCTTTCTGCTGCACAAAGTTCTTATCTGAAGAAATAAACACAATGAAGGGGACGAGGAAGCAGGAAGGATGGTCACCCTGTAAGGGTGATGCAAAAATACCCCCGGGATAAATTTAATCACTGTGGTACAATCCCTTCAGAAAGGCACAGCTCTAAACCAGATTTTCAACTCATGGCAGACACAAAGCCACATCCCTGCCAGGACACACAAAGATCCACCTCCAGAAAAGCCAACATGAAGGTGTTGCAGGAACTACAGGCAAAAGTGATGTCAGCGCAAGAAATTCCAGGTTTTCTAATCCCTCCAGCAAAGCTTTTCCTGAAACTCTTCCAGCAAAGGATAAAGGGAGACAGTTCTGACAGATGGCTACTGGTTGCTCAAGCAGGAGCCAGACTAAGACAAGGACGCTGGAGAGAGATCAGGATCACAGAAACCTATTTCAGGAACTGTCTTTACCTAGATTTTTTTCTTTTCGATCCTCTGCTTCCTTGACAAGGCCCAGTTCTTCACAAAACCAGCTGTATCTTTGTAACACATCCTTTTAAGTAAAAGCTGTGTTTTTTTGGTAACCCCCAAAGTAACTCGGATCAAATCCTATTCTGGAAAGCCACAGCAGGAAAGGTTTCAGACCAAGACTACTACATGGAAACTAAAAGGGTTCCTGCAGACAGTTTTTCACAACTGTGCTCTTAGAGATATTCATCCAGAGCACTTAAAGGCAGAATATTGCACTGAGAAGATGCAGAAACACCTCTGAGCACACAGAGTGAAAATGTCTTGTTGTCATCCTCAAAACATCATTATTAGTTCAAAATCCAGGCTAAAGCTGGTTCAGTGAAGGTTTCTCTTGCTTGCAGTTTTGATCATGTAATTTCAGAAAAGATAAAGATAATATATGTCATGGAAAAACAATCCATGTTCTAGGAATCAAACAGAATAACCCAAATTACACAAGGAAAGCCCCAGTATGACAATACACCTTGGTGTTCAAGTTCGGGGTTTTTTAAGGAGGCACAGGCAGTTTATCTTGTAAATCACCGTGTTTTTTTTCCTAAAGTAAAATCACACAAATTCATTAACAGATAAAAAATAATAAATTCATATTAAAAAATTAATTTGATTCCAAATATTCCTCACCCAAATTTCTTAGCTTAAACTGCCACTGCATAAACACCTGTTGAGGAGGTTACTATGCAAATAAACCTGCATCCCTTTATTGCCCAGTAATGAAACATACAACAGTTGTCACTCAGCTGCTGGATTAGCTCAACCCTCAGCAGAAGCAGCCACAGATGGAAGGCTGGATTATTAAAGCTGCCTTGAATGGGTCTGCACTAAATCAGAGCACACACTTGTTCCTGGATCTGGTTTCCAAATCCAGCTGGTAACTCCACCAGACAGAACTGGTTTAAGAATTATAGATGAAAATAACTGCAATTTCTGTTTTGACTACAGCATAAAACACAATGGGAGAAAATATTTGTATTTCTTGTGCTTGGTTACACAAAACATTTCCCTGTGCAACTAACTGGCTCCTCCAGCTCCATTGTTTGCCAGGGAAAAAAAACAACCAGGGCTTGTGAAAAACTACTGAGGTTGTGATTTACTGGTGGAGAAGGCTAGAACACAGCCTGGGTAAAATGTACCACATCTGAAATTCAACTCAGCCCCAGCCTGAGCAGGTGATCCAAGCAAAATGTTGCTGCATGGGAATGTAACAACATTCATATTTTGCATGAGATTACCTCAGATTTGATTATTTGCACAACTCACCAGAGTGTGCCTGACTTTTCCAGCTCTAATATAAACTTGATGAGCTTTGCTTTGCTGCCCTGCCACAGACACTGATTTATCTTCCAATTACTAAGCACATAATCAGCAAATGGATACAACAACTCTGAAAAAAGCTCTTCAGTAAAACCATGCTGTTCCATCCTTTTAAGCCAAGGATGAGAGCCTCTGCCACAACAGCCATAAAATTCAAATCAAACAAGACCAATAAAAAATAACAAATTAGGAGGTCAGGGAGAGATTACCTCAAATAGCAAAATTAAAAAAAAAAAAAAAATCAGCATTTCCTATCACCTCAAGATCAAACTCAGGTCATTTTAAGAGATGAAATAGCCTTCAAGTAAAGGTATCTTCAAAGCCTCTTTAGAAAACTGATTGTGAGTCTTCTGCAGTGCCTGTCTGGGGTTAAATCCTCCTAAATCCTGGGATTAGTGACCTGCTACAAACCAGGTGTTCTGGCCTTGCCTGGTTCAGGTGGCCAAGGGTGGCTCTGGCAGCAGAAGCAGGAATTTGTGAAGAAGCAAAGGATCCCCAAGCCCTGCCAGAGAAAGGAGGTGGGAGAATCCTGGTCTCTAAAGGAGACTCAACAACAAAACCCAAATCCATACAGCATTTATCACAACTTTTAAATACTCTGATTTTCTCTTTTTGTCCTTAGGGAACTGCTGAAGATTTTATCTTCTACTTAATTTAGAAGGAAAAAAAAAAAAAAAGAAGAAAAAGAGAGATTAGTGATCTAAGCAATAGTCCCAGTGAGTCATAAAGCAGGCAATTTCTGTTCTTGAAAAGGATGCTGCAGTGCCTAAGGCAAAGTGTTTCCACAGCTCAGACCTCCCTTATTCCACAGAAATCCTCTCCTTGGCATTGTTCAAAGGTGCTCCGTGCCCTTTGTTTCACACCAGGACATTCCATCCTTAATGCAGAGCACTCTCCAGAGCCCTGGACCAACAAATCACATTTGCATTAAAGCAAAGATGTTCCCACTGCTTCCTGCCCCTGCACTACAAGGCATTTCTGAGTAAAAGGGATTTGATTTGCCAGCTCCCTGTGTGAAAGCTGCAGAAAACACACATTTATTGCAGTTATTGTGTCACCGGCGGTCCAATCCTGAAACCAAACCCATTTCTGACCTGTTTGCTCCAAAAGCTGAGTGACTTCCAAGAGCCACAACATGAACCTTTCATTCAGCTTTAAAACTGCAGCTTTCCACAACAGGGAACTTCTTCCTGGAAAATTTCTAATTCCTCTCCATCCCAAAAGTCAGCTGGAATCAATACCTGCCATGCAGGAACAGCAGGAAAGTTCCATTATCCAATTAAACTGCTGTTTTATCCTTACCCCTTTATGGAGGTTCACAGAAATCACTGCCACATCTGACAGGCTCATGCTGTGTCTCTTTTTATTTTGTTTTATTTCCATTTTTTATCAGCTGCTTTTTATTCTGAAGATCCTTATTCCTGCTAGCACACAGCAATGTAAATCAGAATAGTGCTGATTTTATAAAGATTTGGTTATCAGGCACTCTGGACTATGCCTAGAGTTGTTTTTGTCAAATAAAGTTAATTTATATCACATTTTCTCTAACCACTCAACCAGCCACACTCACAGAAAAAAAAAGAGAAGTTAAAAAAGGCAAAATTATTTAGGAAAAAAAAAAACCCACCCAACCAAAAACCCACCAAAGCATCATCAGACACTACATCCTGCTCTGCCTTCAAAGAGCTCTCCAGTACTTCCGTAAGATTCCAGAGAGGAGCTGCGGTTTCTGGGAAAGTCCAGCTCTGGCCCTGGCAGGGCTCCTGGCCATCCTCCAAAATCCATTTTTTATCCTGACAGCAAGAATTGCGCTGCCCAACTCCAGCAGCAGCCTGGACACAGGCACAGACAAGCCTTGGAAGGGAAAGTCACTATTTACATCTTCCACCACCCAGATTCCTCAGAAAAAAAAAAAAGGAACAAGTTCTACGGAGGATGAGTGCTGGGGAGAAATTACCCAGAAATCTGCCTTTTGATCCCAGACAGCATCGCAGGTGCTCCTGGGGAGGGTCAGAGCCCTGATGCCCAAAGAATTTCCCACCTGCAGGGCTGGGAAATCCCCAGCACAGGGCAGAAAATTGGGGTTGCTCTGCAGCAGTGCCTTTTATATTTTTAATTTAAATGTGAGTATAATGATGTACCTTAAAGCTCAAATAAAAGACACAAGCAGGCATCCCTGAGTAACTACTTGGAGTAGTTACTAATAGAAAAAGAAAAAAAAACCCTCATGTCTATTTTTATAGAGATGTGTTATTTTTATAAATACATCAGATTGTGAAGCTCATTTCACAGTAGGATCTGGCTGGCTTCTCATATTAACACAAGCTCCAGAAACACCCTAATCTGGTGGATAAACACAAATCTCAGAGCTCAGAGGGGAGATTCTCTGGCCAGCACCATCCCTCCTCTGCCAGGACTCAGAATTCTGGATCAGCCAAGGCTGACAGCAGTCTGGCAAAATCAGCTCCAGGCAGAGCCTCCAACAAGGCAAGAAAAGCAGCTGCAAATCCCACACCGCTGCCTTGAGCACAGTAATTACACTTTTCATTCCACAGATGGATGCAAGGCACAGTGATATTTTCAAAGGCAGGCAAAGAAAAAATAAGATAAAAAAGAAATTCAATCACAGAGATAAGCTGATTTCTTATTCCTTCGCCTGCAGGCAAGAGGATTACATGATTCATCTTCATGCCCACTTTAGGAGATACAAATAAAAGTACTGGTGATACTATTTTTGAGTTCTTCCTCAGGACAGGAGAACAGATTTCCCATGTTTTGGCAAATCATGGAGAAGCATAAAATTACAGATGCTGTTCCACAGGCATCAGTGCAGCAGTCACCTCAAAAAAAACTTAATGTGCAGAGCAAGAGTAAGTGAGAAAGTGCTGCTCTTCAGGGAATAGACCCCAAGAATAATCAACAATTTGAGAGTGCAAGATCCCTGTCAGGCCTGAGAACAGCAAAGCATGTCTGAGAAATTATTTAATTGGGGGGGTGGGGGCGCGGG